GGAATGAAATTAAGAAATTTAGACATATTTGGGCATAAATGGGTATCACTGGGCAGAAGGTAATGTAGTCGGGAACCAGTTTCTATCCCAGTCTCTAATTCTGAGATGTTTTGCGTGAGCGTGGAGCAGCTTGGCAGGTGGAGTGTGGAGGCAGGAGAGAGGCTGGGAGTCTCGGTCACTGGCAGGTGGGAAATAAGATCACTCAAGTAAAGGGTTTAGCTTGTAAGCATTTAATAAATGTTGGCTACTAGTATTATAATTATTATTAGAAGGAAGTTAAGATTATATGGCAAGGATTCATATACAGTGAATGACCTTCATTTACTTGTTGTATATGATCCATGTGTAATGATGCTCAAGCTGGAAAACATAGTTTGGTGTTTGTTTTTGATTTGATTCTCTAAATAGCTAAGAAAAGATGTGTTGCTGGATCTTATCCTTTAGTTAGGAAGAAATAATTGAAAAGGAACATATTTCTTGTCTCTTGAACCCTGTTCTAATTTACCAAGGCATAAAATTCCATTAATTGATCATTTCTTTATACACATATACAAAGAAAGATTCATCAGAATTTATGGAAATTTATGGGAAATTTGGAGAAGGTTCCAAAGAGAGATATCCCAAATTCATGGCAGAAAGAAAAATATAAATGTTTTCATATTAACAGGCATTTCCCAACTTACTAATAATAGCTATCTTCCAAAGCTCATTTATGTTATTTGAAACTCATTGTGTATTTTCCTAAAGAAACAGTGAAATAATGGTATTTACATTCCTAGCCAGAACTCTACTTGCCTCAAAATGCATTTGTAAGTTTAGTGCTGAGGTTGTAAGGCTACCTTTCTGAATCCTGGTGGTAGAGACAGAGGATTCAAAGAGAGAACTTCTTCATCAGCTCAAAGCTGGTCTGAGGAAAGATTTTCATAGGAAAAGTTTGCCACCAGCTTCCCCACCTCCTTTCCTGAATTCCTTTTCGAGCAACCAGTTTTCCTCTCCCCAACATTCTATACCACTTCCACACTACCCAACCCTCCCTCAGTGATCTCTGTATAAATCTTCTCTTTTTAAAGTCGTCTTCATTCCAGAATCCTCTTCTAGTGAATACCCACTGCCTTAATGCTATTCTTCAGAGTTGGGGGGAAGCCATTAATCAAAGAGTTCATTCCTTATACTCTCAGAGGCCTTTTCACTTGTTAAAGGGGATCTTTCATTACCTATTTAATTATTGAACATACAGAATTTTTTTAAAGGAATGAAATTAAGAAATTTAGACATATTTGGGCATAAATGGGTATCACTGGGCAGAAGGTGATGTAGTTGGGAACCAGTTTCTATCCCAGTCTCTAATTCTGAGATGTTTTGCGTGAGCGTGGAGCAGCTTGGCGGGTGGAGTGTGGAGGCAGGAGAGAGGCTGGGAGTCTCGGTCACTGGCAGGTGGAGCCATCTGTGTTACCATGATACACCAGCAACCAGAAGCCTCATCTGGAAAGGCTTGAGCTCTTAATTTGTTCTGTATAGCTAGGGAATGAATGCTTTAAGCCTTTTGGAAGTGGTTTGAAATGCACCACCAATTCTCAGTAACATTCATGCTTGAAAAGAAGGTAGGAAAATGCCTGACTCATTTGGCTATTTCTCCAGTGACTGCAACCTACCTGAGAACCCTGTGTTCATTGCATGTGGTGGCCAGCGAAACACTACCTGTGGGTAAGTGGATTCCAAAATTGTTCATAGAAAAAGAACATCTCACCCCGAAAGGGTGCCCTGTGGAGGTTGAGAGCATAGGATCTGTGGATGGACAGATACAGGTTCAAATTCCAGCACTGCCATTTACAGCCATGTGATTTTGAAAGAAGTTGCCTAATTTTTTTTGAGTTAGAGCTTCTTCCTTTTGCCACACGGAAAAAACACATCTACACTCCCAGAGTTATAGTATGGATTTCATGTTGTAGTGGATGTGAAGCAAGTAGCACGTAGTAAGTTGCTCACTGAATGGTAGTTAAGGTTATTGATATCATTATGATTGTTGTTACTCATAAACTTTACCCAAATTTCAACCTGAAAAATTGTTTATCAACGAGGCAGGGTGGGGAGAAGCCCTCTCTGGTCATTTCTGAGGAAGAGGGTCAGCAGGCCTGATTTATATTGTAAAAGGTGCTATCCTGCTGGAGTCAGGTACCAACCACCCATCATTTATTTATTCATTTAATAATGTTATTAATATTATAAATAAATACATTTGTTATTAGTAAAATATAATGATAAAATAATACAAGTAATAAGATACTATTTATTAATCATTAGGTACCGGGAACTAGCTCAGGCACTAGAGCTGTCATTGTGAACAAGACAGAAACAGTTCATCTTGGCATGTGGCTTGGCAGGTGGATAGATAGTGGACAAGTCACCATAAACATTGTTAAAGGTTAAGAAGGAAAAGTGCTGAGCACTCTGGAAATGCATCACAGAGTGTCCTACCGCAGGCCCGGGAGAGCTTTCCTTGAGGAAGTGATGGTTCAGCTGGGATATTTTAAAGTCAGCAAGAGTTAGATACTCACCAAGAGGGTACTGCAATGAAAGGTCTTAAGGAGAGAGATCATAGTGTTTCCGGAGAACTGAGAATATGCAACAAGGGTGCCGTTAACACCTCATTGTTTAATTTATTTGAATTAGGTAATTTTTTTTTAAGTTGAAATAAGCACCTCTAGATTGGGCTTGCAATCTCCAGATTGTCAGACTGGTATCTACCCTGGACTCTATTCATTTCTGAAGCTTGTCTGGCTCCTCCAGGCATCTGCTTTATAGCTGGTTATAATCTCTGAATTTGAAAATGTATTTTTATTGTATAATTAATTCTAGCATGTCTTTAATGATAAATCAGTATGCCTGAATACCAGTTCCCCACCTGGTTCTTGACCTTTTATGTAAAATATTGAAATATCTTTAATTTTTTAGTAATTTGGAAGGAATTCAAGCCTTTTACTACCACTATAGAATTTTGAGACTTATAGGAGATATTTTTTTTTATCAGAACAAGCTTTTAAGCCTTTGAAATATGTTTACTAAAAGATTTTGTGAGATGAAGATTTTTTTTTAATTTCAATTTTTGTGGTGCTGTTCCTTCAACCTTCAGAAGCTAAAACGTTGTGGGTTTTTAACCTCTGATTAATTTGGCAGCATTCTTCAACTGAGATATTCAGGAGGTTGGTTGTTTTCTCAGGCTAGCCAACTTATTCCTCTCTCTCTTCATCAGCTCAAAAGTACAGAAAAATGATCATCACAGAAATTTGACTGCATCCCTAACTAAAGATATTGAAAGAAATATCAACTATACTGAAAGAGGAGTGTTCTTTAGTGTGGATTCCTGGGCCCCGGTAAGAGTTTTCCACTTTAAATTGAGAAAGAGGAGCATGCAGCTTCCTTCTTGTTTTGTCAAGTCCCTGGGTATTTAATCATCCATGGAAAGTCACCTGTGCATGTGCCAGGCCAGTGAATATCCTTGGCCTCCAAATGTGGTTTACTCCAGAGATGCCCTGAGACATGAGTCTGGACCTCATTGGCCTCTGGCAAGTCTGGTGGGGGGTAAGGTGGCCCTGGACACCTGGACCGGTCCTGCTGTGGCCTTCACACACATACATACACACGGAAATAAACAGTATATTTTAGCACGAGCTTCTCTTTTGTCAGGTAACAGATTGAAATAACTTGGGCAGATCAGAAAGGCCTGCACCATGGTCTTGAGGGGTCTGGCGGCATGTGAATTTCCTCTCTGTCCTCATGGTGAGGCCCGGATTGAGCTTTGGCTGCTCTGAGTTTTGCATGTGGGACACAATGCTTTGTGAGGATACTTTTCATCTGCTCAGATTATGTGGCCCAGAAATGCTCAGAGGCCGTGATTTGTCCATTTTTGTTTTGTTTTTCCTCTTGGAATGTGAGAGACTGTGAGTCACACAGACAATAGGATATCAGAAGTGAATGTTCATGATAGTCTAAGTGATCTAACTTGTTGATAGGAATTGATGTTTGGTTTTTTAGTGCTTGTAAAAATTAATTTCTTTCACAAAAGTCTGGGACTTTGTAACAGTTGCTTTGTTGATTATACTGTGTGTCTTTACCTATCTGTAATGATTCTTTTATTTCAGGATTCCATCTCCTTTGTGTACCAGGCTTTGGAAAGGAATTTAAGGACAATGTTTACAGGCAGCTCTCAGGACCCACTGAAGTATGTGTCCAGCCCCTTAATGTCTTACTTCTTGTCACTTCCCTATGCGAGGCTTGGTTGGTAAGTATAAGTTTCTCTAACTTGTGGATGTTTCTGACAGTATTAATTTCATTCATTCATTCAGCAAATGTTTTAAATCGTGTCTGTTAGCACCTTATTTTATTAATTCATCATCAAACAAAAGCATTAGTATAGTGGTTAAGTTATTGTAAGGGTGAAACGATTTCCTTAAAGTTGGTTTAAACACAGAGAGCTTTCACTTTAATAAATGATCACAATAATACAGTTATTATAGAATATTTATAAAGCTCTAATGTTCTTGGAGATATATTGTCACAGATGCTTTGCAATCCAATGACATTTGAAGGATACATGAAGATACCTGTTGTAGTAATTTGAATATTTTAACTTCATAGGTAAAAGCCTGGTACACCCGCTTTTTTATAAAGAGAATGTTAGGGATCCCTCTGATTTTAAAATTAAACCAAAACTGAGCACAAGTATATAAAAATGACTGTTGTCTGGAGATTTTGGTGAAACCTCTTTTTTAAAACCTCACGTCTTGAATCTAAACGGCATCACGTTTCCTCGGAGCAATTTACTGACAGCCTTCCTTTCTGCGCCACTGATGCATTCATCCAGCTCTAGCATGGGGACTGGGAGGTGAATTCAGGCTTTACTGGCCAGTCACTAATGGCTCTTCCTGGCCACCTTCCTGAAAGATCCAGAAGAAGGCCTCTTGCTGGGCTGGCAGCCACACAGGCCCTGCCCTGTGGGCAGTCACTAGCCCGTGTGGAGCCTCAGGAGTGCAGAGAGCAACAGTGGCTCCTGGGGGTGTCTGTCCCTTCCAACAAATGTCACAGCCTTTCGAAACTGCTCTTTCCTTTCCCCTCTGTTCTGCCATTTGTTCTTTGTTTGGCCATAAGAACTAGAACAAACTAACGACTTTTGGTCTTTCTAGCCAACTCTGTCCAGCTGTAGGGTAGTTCATGGAATCTCATTTAGAAACATCCACTAAATATGTTGGAAGCTCGATTCGGTCCAATATGAGGCATCCGATGTAGCCATGCAGAAATAAACAGTATATTTTAGCACGAGCTTCTCTTTTGTCAGGTAACAGATTGAAATAACTTGGGCAGATCAGAAAGGCCTGCACCATGGTCTTGAGGGGTCTGGCGGCATGTGAATTTCCTCTCTGTCCTCATGGTGAGGCCCGGATTGAGCTTTGGCTGCTCTGAGTTTTGCATGTGGGACACAATGCTTTGTGAGGATACTTTTCATCTGCTCAGATTATGTGGCCCAGAAATGCTCAGAGGCCTTGATTTGTCCATTTTTGTTTTGTTTTTCCTCTTGGAATGTGAGAGACTGTGAGTCACACAGACAATAGGATATCAGAAGTGAATGTTCATGATAGTCACACAGGATGGAGAAATCAGTGAGAGAAAGTTGAAGTGTAGGATTGTAGAAAGGAAATAAGCAGGAGACAGTTTTACCTGTAGCACTCAATGAGTAATGCTGGGGTTCCCTTCTCTTCTTAAGGGCAATGACCTCTGCTGACCTCAACCAGGATGGGTACGGCGACCTCGTGGTGGGTGCACCAGGCTACAGCCGCCCTGGCCACATCCAGATCGGGCGCGTGTACCTCATCTACAGCAATGACCTGGGCCTGCCCCCAGTTGACCTGGACCTAGACAAGGAGGCCCATGTTATCCTAGAAGGCTTCCAGGTGAGAAACCCACCTCGTGTTTTCTGTTTTAGTGGTCAACAGACCACTGCCTGCATTTCATGGCAAATTCTCCAGGCTGAATAACCTGTAACAAGAATAATTATAGTGGCAAACAGCTGGTAGCATACATTTGTGTAGTGCTTTTCATTTTCAAAAGCATGTTCATGTCATTGATCCTCATGCTATCATTAACTTGGAGTGTTTAGTCTAATGCCTTCCAAAACCACAAGTGCTATTTAGTTAGAATTGCTTTGAGTGGTCAATTGGCATGTGATTTCTTGATAACACAAACCCCCCCCCTCTCTGTCTCCCTCCATGTGTACATAACTTTGTAAGAATTTTACATTTACAGAAAGTTTGGAAGGACAGTACAAAAAGATTCCATATACCCTTTATCCAGTTTCTTCTTTGTTAACATCTTACATAATTATGGTATACTTGTCAAAAATAAAAAACCAACATTGGTACCATTAGTATTAACTACACTTCAGACTTTGTTCAGCTTTCATTACTTTGTTTTAAGTGGTAATTCATCACCAGAAAAAATCTTCAATGACTGTGCAAATGTTCCTCATGGAGTCTGAGAATCAGTTCCTCTTTGGAGTACTAGGGACCTGGAGGGCTTTCCAAACATTGGAGGCATTAGTTTTTTCAGTAGCAATAAGGAGGTACAGACAGAGCCCTGCCACTAGTCACACGTGAGTGTGGGGCTTTTGGTGACACTGGCCTGGCACTGCATGCTCTGAGTATAAAGTGCCAGGGGAAGGAACTCTGGACAGATCATGGTTCAGATCATGGGTCAGATCATGGTTCTTGTTCTGGGAAGTCACTTTAACTTTTGCTGTGAATTTAATGCAGCAGAAAGAAAATAAGCTAACACAGCTGAGCACACTTTAAAAAATGAAAAGTACGCAGATCATGGTTCTTGTTCTGGGAAGTCACTTTAACTTTTGCTGTGAATTTAATGCAGCAGAGAGAAAATAAGCTAACACAGCTGAGCACACTTTAAAAAATGAAAAGTACGATGGTTTATGATCCAGTCTCGGTTCTGATGAAAAGAGCCCTGAATCTGTCGTGTGTAAGTACTTTGGCTGGCCAGTGTACAGATCACACAGTCCCAGAGGTACACCATTTTCTGGAGCCTTCTGACACCACATGAAAAATTTCCAAAATAAGTCTACCCATTCCTGTTGTCTTACTTCTCCCTAACACCCATCCACTTGTCAGACTGTTGTATAAAGTACGATCCTTTCGGCTCAGTAAAGATGGGGAATAAGAGAGGCAGCTTCTTCCTGTGGAGGACACCTCTCTTGAAGACCACTCAGATGAGGAAGTGGCCCTCGTCTGCCCAGGGACCTTTGATTTGGAAGGTGGCCAGATTAAGGCATGGACTAGGGAAGGGAATCCTGTACTCCAGTCCTGGGCTGCAGTGAACCTCTCTGTGTCCTTGTCTGTAAAATGGAGGATTAGGATAGTTGTCTCAAGGACTCGTATGCTGTAAAATTCTGGGCTCCTCTAGGAATGACAGGCTTACTCACAAGAGGGTTTGATGGCACAGCTGGTGGTGATGAAACAAACCAGCCTATAGTTGGCAGGAGCCTCACCTGCCCCAGCGTGCTTTGTGTCCCCGAGCAATCTTCTCTTGTTTATCAGGTTCCTGCCTTGCAGTGTTCACGAATGCCATTGCACACTGGTATTGAGAGATTAGCCAATAGTTGATAGATGTGGCTAATGGGGCCTGTGCATGATGGGGCAGGCATCACCATGTGTTAGGTAAGTTGCAAAAGGGAGAACCTACTGGCTAATGGGGCCTGTGCATGATGGGGCAGGCATCACCATGTGTTAGGTAAGTTGCAAAAGAATTGGAGAACCTAATGAATTACTTTTAGGTCTAAGCTGATTCTAGACAGTAGGAGAAGAAAGATCTAGAAAATCTCCCTCGGAAGAAAATTGCCCCTGACAAGAATGAATTTTCCATCTGTAAACTTTGTAACTGGGCAGAATAACAGTACCTACCTTAATCCATGTAAAGGGCTTAGAACAGGGGGTTTAGCAGGGCTGTCTAGTAGAACTTTCTCTGATGAAGGGAATGTTCTATAGCTGTGCTGTCCAATACAGGAGCCAGCAGGCACCCACTTTTGAACATTTGCAGTGTGGCTAGTGTAAATGAGGAACTGAATTTTTAATTTTATTTAATGTTAATTATTTTACATTTAAATATAATAGCCATATTTGGCTAGTGGCTACCACTTTGCACAGTGTGGCTCTAAAACATCCTGAGTATTCAGCAGATGTTAGCTGCTGTTGCTGGTGTCATGTGATTATAATTTTAGATACTTTGAAAGACAAGTTCGGTGCTTAATGTGGGGCAGAGTATGCATAAGACCATTTTCTACAAACCTAGAACTCATAAGAACCAGCCCTCTACTTTCTGGCATCTCAGCTTCCCCTCAAGGCAGACAGTTGTGCTAAAAATATCCTTAGGGCAGAGCTACCCAACTGATGTGCTGCAGATGTGTTTCAGGATGCTGAGATTTTGTCTCGCCTTTGGGATGACGGGTGGGTCCCCAGGCCACTCTCTTCCCAGGGAGTCAAGGGTGCTCTTATGAAGGCTGTGGCTCAGCCCAGGGGGAGTAACTTGTACCTCTTCAGCCCTCAGGTCGGTTTGGCTCGGCCTTGGCCGTGTTGGACTTTAACAAGGATGGCGTGCCTGACCTGGCTGTAGGAGCTCCCTCGGTGGGCTCTGAGCAGCTCACATACAAAGTAAGGCTGCTGGTGGGGACTGGGGCAGGTGGGGAGGGGGCACCGAGGGAGGCCAGGGCTGGGGGGAGGCCAGGGCTGGGTAGAGCCCCTAGAGCAAAGCAGACAGCCAGTGTGCCAGCCAGCGCTGGTGGGCACATGATCTCAAGCTCCCATTATGTTCCTTGACATGACCTCGGGTGACCTCACAGCACCTGTTTCTGCCTCCCTGGCCACACGATTTCCCAATTCCAGCAGGTACTTCACTCCTTTTTTCCTCTCCTGTGATGCTGAATGCTAGTGAAGGGAGACAGAAATTCTAGCTGGTCTGTAGCTTCCTGTCATCACAGCAGGGAGGTGACTTTCCTGGACTTTCCTTTCATGCATGGAGCCCAGCCTGTTGCCTGATTTTTACTGAGAGCAGAGCAGAGATCCTGGGCCCCAGCCCACAGGGCTCTCTTCCTGCATGTGTTTCATGTCATAGCAGGGCCCCAGCCATAGCAGGGCACTTGTGTGTGATCGTAGACATCAAAGGCTTTCCATCGCCTGCTGCCCTCGTGAGCTCACCTCTTGCCGCTTCCTCCTCATGCCCCATTTCTAGACATACAAATGATTTATCATTTCCTGAACACTACCTGAACCTATTTCCTGTGCCCCTCACTTTAGGATCTTTGCTTGTATAGCTTCCTCCACCTGGAAAGCCCTTTCTCTCCTCTCTTTCTTTAGAAGTGACATATCACTTCTTGCAGGAAGTGTTGTCTAACTCCTGGGTGAGGCCGATGCTTCATTGTCCTCACATAACATCCTGTGCCTGCACCTGTTGTAACCCCTGCCACACTGCGGTGTCACAATTACCTGGCTGTCAGCTTTTCTGGAGGAAAGATTGGTCTCATTTGTCATTGTGTACCTAGTCTTTGGCTTATGATGGAAAATAAATGCTTGTAGAATGAATGGGGATGGAGACAGGCAAGTTATAAGAGGAACTATTGCATAACAGAATAATAGCACAGTTTGAGTCCCAGGTACAGACACAGTGTGTGCACTAGCAGTGGTACAGCAGGTGGGGAAGTCTTCATGGAAGAGCTGGAAACTGAGCTGAGCCTTGAAGTCGGGGAGGAGTTGAGTACGTCATTCTGCAAACACACTGAACAATTACATATGGCAGATCCTAAGCAAGACACTGTGGAGGCAAAGATGAAAATGACTCAGTTTCTGTTTTGGGGGCTCTCTTAGTCTGATGGAAGTGACAGGCCTTAAAAAAAAATCATTTCCACCCAGCAGGATGGGTTTCTATCATTCATTAAGTTCTTGACCATAGGGGATGATGATTTATTTCATAGCCAGTCCTCTTTGTCTTGATATTATTTAAGGTTCTTGGGTCACCTGCCCCCTCCCCCAGCCTTATGGTTACTCTTCTATGTGTCCTTGTCTAGGGTGCAGTGTACATCTACTTTGGTTCCAAACAAGGAAGAATGCCTTCTTCTCCTAATGTCACCATCTCTTGCCAGGTATGTTTACCACTTTAGCCAGGTGCAGACAGCTAGAACTGGCTGTATCCTAATTGCCTCCAGGGCTGGGTAAAACATGCTCTCCTGCTTTCCTCTTAAGGACATCTACTGTAACTTGGGCTGGACACTCTTGGCTGCAGATGTGAATGAAGACAGTGAGCCTGATCTGGTGATTGGCTCACCATTTGCACCTGGTGGAGGGAAGCAGAAGGGAATCGTGGCTGCCTTTTATTCTGGCCCCAGCAGGAGCAGCAAAGGTAGCGCCTGATGGGGGAACAGGCAGAAGACCATTGCTGCTCTGTACGTCTGTGATGGTTTCTGTTGCATGCTGGTTTATGTCCTTTTCCCTCATTCCATATCATATAACCAGAATGTTCTAACAGTCTCTTACATATGTTCTGGCAAGTGATGTGGATAGATTCACGGAATATACAAAAAGTGACCCAGGTAAAGTAGAAACACTAAGGTGGTTTAGGCCCAAAGGCATCCCAGGGATGCTCTAATCTGTCCAGAGAAGTGTCTTTTTAAATAGCATTCTCCACTACACAGCTCTTACATATGTTCTGGCAAGTGATGTGGATAGATTCACGGAATATACAAAAAGTGACCCAACTTCTAGATCCAGATCCACAGGAGACCAATAGGTTATTCTCATAGTCTTTCAAGGTAAAGTAGAAACACAAAGGTGGTTTAGGCCCAAAGGCATCCCAGGGATGCTCTAATCTGTCCAGAGAAGTGTCTTTTTAAATAGCATTCTCCACTACACAGAGTGAGCTTAAGAAATCTGTTTCTTATATGAAGTGTGAGATCCATTTCTGACATTGGGGTCCTGGGATTAGCATGGGGACATATAAGAGTTTTGGCAAAAACTCAGCAGAACAAACCCATTTCTCATTAGCCTGAAAAAAGGACCCATTCTTTCCATCCCAGTATTCCTCTCACTTAAAGGGGACTGGTTGTCTTATTTAGAAAATCTGACTGTGGAGGCAGCCAACTGGATGGTGCGAGGTGAGGACGACTTCGCCTGGTTCGGATACTCCCTTCACGGAGTCAGTGTGAACAACAGAAGCTTGCTGTTGGTTGGGAGCCCAACCTGGAGGAATGCCAGTGGGTGAGTGCTGAGGTTGGGGACCAGGGAACAGTGAGCACAGGGGGCAGGTGCCTGCTGCTGCAGAAACCCATTAAGTGTGAGGCTTGGGAAAGGGGCTAAGAAATTCTTGTCTTTCAAAGGAAAAGCTAAGGCAAAAATCTCCTTAGTTTAAAAACAGGATAGATAACTGTTTCGTTTGCTAAGGCTGTCATAACAAAGTATCACAGACAGGGTGGTTTAAACAATGGAAATTTATTTTCTCCCAGTTCTAGAAGCTAGAAGCATGAAATTATTATTGGTAGGACTTGCTGCTTCTGAGGCCTCTCTCCTTGGCTTGCAGATGGCTGTCTTCTCCCTGTGTCCTCACATGGTCTTCACTTTGTGTGTGTCTGTGCCCTAATCTCCTCCTCTTATAAGGACATCAGTCAGATTGGATGAGGGCCCATCCATATGATCTCATTTTAATTTAATTACCTCTTTAAAGGCCCTGTCTCCAACTGTAGCCACTTTCTGAGGTACTGGGGGTCAGGACTTCATCACAGGAATCTGGGGGGAACACAACTGAGCTCATAACAGTAGCATCCCTACATTTGCAATTGGGAGGCAGAACAGTAGACGTGGTATCTGGAGAGCCTTGATGTTGGGATTAACTCCCACAGCCCCCACACTCCAGGCCTAGGATCACAGGACAGAGCACGTGGGGAGGCCTGGGAGGGGGTGAGGACCTGAATATTCCTCGGACCTGAATACCTGGCCAGCTCCCAATCTGGTGCCCCAGCTGCTGAGCCCCATGTGCTTTATTCTAGGCTGGGCCGTTTGTTCCACAGTCATGATGAGAAAAAAAGCCTTGGAAGGGTGTATGGCTACTTCCCACCAAATTGCCAACACTGGTTTACCATTTCTGGAGACAAGGTATGGCAACCCTCCCTCCCCAGGAGAGTGACACTACAGAGAAAGTTGTCTCAGCTGTACAATATTGATGTATTGCATTTCACAGGAGATGGGGAAACTGGGCACTTCCCTGTCAAGTGGCCGTGTAATGATGAATGGGACCCTGATGCAAGTGCTACTGGTTGGGGCCCCAACCCACGGTAGGTCACACACCATGAAACTTTGCTTCCTAGTAGTCATGTGGCTCCTGGAACATGTCATATTGGGGGAAAGTTATGAGATCTGGAGTCAGGCAGATCTGGGTTTAAATATTTTCTTTTTTCATTAATAGCAAGCTGTGTAACTTTGGGGGGAGTTACTTAACCTCTCTGAACTCTTGTATCATCATCTGCAAAATAGGGATTCTAATATCTAGTTCAAAGATTTGTTGAAATGGCACATGAAAGTAACTCAGTGTGTTTTTAAAGCCCCAAACCCATTGAGCTTGAAGCTCAATAGGAATACATCCACCAGGAATAGGTCCACTCTGAGGACGTATCTTAAAAACCATTATTTGTTTACTTCATGGGAAAGGAAGTTTTTTAAAAAACACAACAAAAACTACTCCCTCCCAGATTATAAAAGTGAATCATCTTTATCATGGAAAATACAAGGAGGTATATAGAAGAAAAAAGATTACCCTTACCCAGGTCTTTTAAAACTTAAGTTCATACTATATCATTTTCACTTCTAATTTTTGTTACTTATTTTATATCTTGAGCATGTTCTCCCATTATTGAATATTCTTTTAAAGCATGAATTTTGATAACTGTATTGTCTTTTTTTCTATATGCACATGCCAACATTTAGTAGCATCGTCCTATTGCTGAAAATGTAGGTTGTTTCCAATTTTATACTATTGTAAGTTATTATCAAACACCCATGTACATAAATCTTTGACTTCCTTTCTGATTAGTTTTTAGCTACATTCCTGGAGATGAAATTCCTTGACTAGAGAATCTAATTTTTCTTAAGGCTTTTATTACATATTGTCAAACTATTTTTCAGAAAGACTTTTGTTTCATACAATATGAGAGAGATTTGAATAATAAGCAGAAGTGGATGTGGGAAAGGAATGGCTAAATTTTTCAGTGCATGACTCAGGACACAGCATTATAACAACAAAAACTTGCTGATAGCTTTGGAATAATTTTTTTTTTCTTCTTTACAGAGTCTAGACAGTGATTTCTCAACTCTTGCAACATACGTTACTGATTTTACTTTCTTTTTCTTTTTTTTTTTTTGTCTTTTGTCTTTTTCCGTGTCCGGCAACGGATCGCAACCCTCAGTGTTGCCCCCGTACCGGAC